AATGGCACGGTGAGAAAGTCATTTTTTGTATACAGCGACGTAATATGGCGAACGCTCTCTGTGGGCGAGCTCCGTCCAGCTGTCAACTGTTCTAGACTTCCATTTCCACTCAGACTCGACCCTACTCTCTAGGTGGTTATTTAGTCGGTTGTGCGATCGGATCGATTGCACAGCATTTTGTGCGTATCGGTCACGTCGTCGAATGTCCGAGGATTGGACGATCAGTACGTATCTAACACCGTCGATCGTTACGATCTTACGGCCGACTATGAACGCGCTGTAACACCGAATTTCGTAATGGACGCTCAGAACACAAGCATAATGCTCTATAGACACTGTCGCAAGATTCGTGAGCATTGTGATAGTAAAGCATTCAGAACTGCGTAAAATACATTCTTTTAGTTGAGAACGGGGCCAAGCTTAAGGCGGGGGAGGAGAGACTCCAGGGTGCGTAGGCCGTATTTATCCTTCTCGGAATTCCTGCCTCTAGGGTGCGTGGGTCACATTTTCCTCAGAGTTCCTGCCTCTTCATCGGCTTAGTTCATAAAGGATGCCCCCCTATATTGCGATAGCGCCTGCTTTATATATGGTAGAGATAGGGAATGTCTTCTGCGATGTGCTTTGTTGAGAAGCGAAGCTGTGGGTATTAAGCGTCCGATGATGAGCGCGTTTGAGTCGGCCGGTTTTTCACCACAAGTCCTCAAACATGTGAAGCAAATCGAATGGTTTAGAAGGGAGTCTTTCCCAAGTCGTGAATCGTTACATGTTGACTCAGGAATGAGAATGTGATTGCCCCATCCACGTTTCACATGTTCTCTGACGTGCAGATGGGCAGCGATAACGTTACGTGCGATACAAGTGATAATGATAAGGCCTAATAGTTAGTTGGGTGAATACAAGTGCATTTCATTTGAATTCGTCAATCACTTTCAACATGGCTGATGTAGCGAGACCTCGGTTACAATTTTTCAGGTTGTGGAAAACTTCTCGTTGTTGATTACATTGCTTCTTTAATTTATCGATTGTCTTCAGTTTATGTACCACATTACAGACCACCTTTTCGAGGATTTCCCCCAGGTCGAGGTGGTGCGATGCCGCCACCAATGTTCAATGGCCAAGCGCCTCCTCAACAACAGCCACCGACATTTTTCCGTGGGCGTGGAGGTTTGTGCGTCATCTTTTCAATTCAGTGTAAAATTAGCAGCTCTGTAGTTTTACGAGTAGGAAATGTGAATTGAAAATGTGGAGAATCCGGACAAGGGGATTGGTGGTGAATGCTTATGCGCGTTCAGAAGTAGATGATCAGGAAAAAGGCGTGTGTTACATAACGAGGTTAATAACAGGTGGTACAATGCAAATGATGATGAATGAGAAAAGAAGTGGAAAGAGAGGAGTAGTGAAAAGATGAGGTGCAACAGTTGCAGCGTGAAGCCTCAAAACATCCTGTTCGACTCTTTTTTTTGTGCCATTTTGCAAGCCACTATTGACAACCCTGTTTTCTTTTTTCCTTACTGCTGCAATGTCCTTGACGTATTTGTGTCCTGGTTTGCACGCCACAGGGCAGAGTAAGCTAAAGTTGAGTTAGAATTCAAAAGCGCCACAAAATTTGCAAGGTGGAATGTACGAGTTCCTGCAGTCGAAATGTTTTGGAAACGCACAATGATGAAAAGGATGGCTTTTACGAACGTTGAGGTTCTTATAGTTTTTTTTTTATAAAAAATGGACGGTATAAAATTCACTCAATCCCTCGTCAAACTTGGTAACATCCCGCTGGTAACATCTGAATCGTGAAAGTGCCCTGAAAGTTCGATTATTGTAAAATGCCGAATATGTGTCTGCGGCTATGTTATGTACGAAATAGGAGAGGCATTATGTCGTGTTTTTCTATTGACGTTATTTCAGCGCCGCCAGTTATGCCAACAATGAGAGGTGGCGCTGCCCCTCCAGCCACAGCGACGCCCCCCGCCGCTGCACCTGCACCTGCACGTGGAGGCTTCGCACCACCACCATTCCGTGGTCGTGGCTTCCCTCCACCACGTGGCGGGTATCCACCGTTCCGTGGCGGCTATCCGGGAGCGTATCCACCAGGATTCCCACCTGGTTATGCTCCTCCAGGACAGGCACAGCCACAGCAGCAACAGCAGCAAAACAACAACAACACAAGCACAGCAACAGCAGCAACAACAACAGCAACAGCAACCGCCGCAAACACAGGCACATCCGACGCCCATGGTCGATCAAGCGACGAGACTAAAAAGGGTACGTTTGTCTCACACAAGTTCTCCAGAAACAGTATCCGAATATTTTTTTCGTGCTATTTGTTAAGATTTTTAGAAATAAGGTTTTTTATAGCTTGCAAATTGCGCAGAAGACGAGGAGTTATGGGTGGAAGCCGAGTCACCGGAAGGGAAGCCGTACTTCTACCACTGGCAAACACGTGAGACAGTATGGGATCGCCCGGAAAAAGCTAAGATCGTTGGTCAAAACAGAACTTGCTGAATTGATTCAAAAATCGAGTGAGGAGGAGAGGAAGGAACGGGAAGGTGAGCTTCATTTTTCCCATCTCCTATCAGTAGGGACGACACTTTCAGCTAATTTCATGCTTCACGTTCTCGATTTTTTGACACTACTTTTGCTTCAACTGTCGTTTTATGGAGAAGGTGGTGCACGAAGTGAGCTTTATGAACTGTGTAGAGTTCTTTTGTTTCCTTGGAATCCCTCACAGCACAAGTGTTCGTTCTCTGTCATAAGAGATGTGAATAGTTATCGTCGGCGAGCTTTATCGCTGAGAATATCGATGTTGAAATCTTGGACTCTGTATTTGTGAATATGGGTGATTCGGTAGGAGTTTCAGGATACCGGAAGGATTATCCAGGTTAGTGATGAGCAGTACATCACGCGATAACCTTTCTTGTCTGTGATACAATGGACAGGTTGTTTGTTTTGCGGTTTTCCACTACCTATGTTCCGTCTTCCGCACGAACGGACACTCATCTGACAAACAGGATTTTAAAAAAGTTTCCTAATATTCTCGTCTAAGCTGGGCATTTACACCAATTCTACCATATGATAAAAACGCATAGTAAAGAGCACCTCATTGTGTGCAACCGAATGTTGGGTTCTCTTTAGACACATGTTTGAATACTCGAAGTGAATACGTCACCCTGAGCTCGTTCATTGGTAGGAGTCTGCATAGTAATTACTAGTCCCTTAAGCTGTTTTGGGAGTGTTTCGTCAAGATTATTTTTCGGTCACAGGAGAAGATACTGAGGACTGAAGCTTGTGGAGCTTGTGTGCATGGAAAAGATGTGGAGGTGCCGATTAGGAGAGTTTGGTGTGCGAAGATCGATATCCATCGATTAGCTCTCACCTTTTTTTCATTTATTCCGCCAAAACAAAGTTAGTGTCTGTTTGAAGTGAGTACCCCTTTATAGTGCTGAGATGTGCAGCTTTCTTGATAACAGCTGCTTTTTTTTTTTTTGAAAATTTGCAATTTTTACAAGATAGCTCAGAAGTCACGAAATTTAATCGAGTAATCCATTTTTAAAGACAGTTTTTGCAACTTTGCTATCTTTCCCTTTTATTGTTAGTTTCTTCTTGAGTTTTTCAACAAAGGATTGTGTGGAATTCGGGGATAACAGCAATCTTGTTGCTAAATTCGCCGTGAGACTCCTGCCGATGCGCGAGCAAGTGACGCCTTCTCGTAAAAATCAAGAGGAACAACAACATGATCAATCGGTTGCGTTAGGCAATGTGAAATGTGCGTATATGGCTAATTCTCCATTCTTAAAGTCGCCAATGTGAGATGTCGATTGTGGCAGATGGACAGTGGCATGAGCGTGTACAACAAGATTCCCGGGCTCTCCTTCCGCTTCGCGCTCGTCGCTAGCGCAATAGTGTAATGTCCATTTTGTTATATATAGGGCTGTACATGTGAACTACAACATAATAATATCTAAGCATAATAATATAATAGATTCGCAAGTCGAAACAATTAAAATATGATCGGAATAGTTTACGTAGGAGCATTAGCACAATGACATCGTGTAGATGCCCGGTGTAGTTGGAGACCTGACGTATTGCACACCTCTTCGATTGTCATGAGCATCCTCCTTTCTGATCATCCAATTTTGTTCCACAATCAGTGCGAACGCCATAAATCCATATGTTTTGAATAGTAAATAATTTCAGAGGCGCAAAGAAATGCTACTGCTGCTGCATTTGCTCAAAGACCACCAGCAGGTTAGTTTTTTGCATAACTTGCAGCATTGGTCAAATTTCTCCTTTCTTTCAAAACAGTATACCGTCTGGCAACCGAAAAGTATCCATATTGACTGTTCCAGGTTTCATGCCGCCGCCCTTCTTTCCTCCCGGTTTTCCTGTACCTGGTCGACCGATGCCGCCAACAAATCCAGATGACGCATGGAATGAGTATACTGCTCCCGATGGCCGCAAATATTATTACAATTCAATTACACAAGAGAACACATGGGATAAACCGCAAGTGTTGATCGATAAAGAAGGTAGGCTTGATTATTCAATTAACTGTTGCAAGAATGCTTAAATGTCAATAATTTGAAGCTGGAAAGTCGCCGCTGGATGCACAGAACGCCTCCGCAGCGTCGGTACATGCAGTACCAGCTGTAGCAGCAACAACAGCGATGGCAGGAACTGCAGCAGCGGTACCGGTTGGAACTGTAGGAGGAGCAGGCATGCCGGCTGATGCAATCGCTGAGGCACAAGCGAAAGCTCAAGCGGCATTGGCTGAATATTTAGCACAGGTTGGTTTCTTTTTCGTATTTTTTTCTTAGAAGTTAATGTTGTTGCTTGTTCAGTTGAACTTCCAAAGAACTCTAGTACTTCACTTCCTCTTGAAAGGCATATCAGTAGATACATTGTTGGGGCATTTTGGGGAAGCTAGGACTGTTGAGCGCAACCGGTGTTACTTTCTCAGTCGTAGTCAGTGCGCTTGGCAAGCGAACCAAAGTCGTGGTCTTGGTTTAGGTTTCTCTTCTAGGGGGAGTGGTAAAACGGTCATCTCAGCCGTCCAGAATATATTGTTTAACTATGTGTGTACCTTAAGACCACATGTAGTCATGCCCCACATTGCAAATGTTGCCTATCTGTGGGTTCTCCCTTGATTCTTCAATTTTTGAGAAAGTGCTG